TGAACCTCCAAGTAGAACCATTAGAATACTCTGGGGGTCGGCTGGCATCATTAGCCTCGGCTCGGGACTGCGGAGAGAGTCGAAAGCCCTTCGACCAAGTCCTACTGTTGATGATTACAATCCTGAATTAGTTTAAGGGCTCTAAACTGGGGGATTATGGTATATCCCTTGTTATGGGTGATGCAGATTCTATATCATCAACCGTACCCTGAACTATAATACCTAGGCCTTACTCACATTGGGGCCAGCATCCACTTCACTCTCAATCTGCTCGTGGGGTGCCGCACTGCCCAAGCCCACAGGCAGGTCAAGCTCATGCAAGCACTGAAGAGCCGTCACAACCTTACAGTCCCTGAATTAACGGAAACTACAGGTGGGGAGTTTAGGGTATATAGGGCTTCTATAAAGCTCCTATAAGGTATATAGACCTTCTATAAGGTTCTTATAACGGTAACTACCCACCTGAAAATGTCCTAGACTGAAGGCCTACAGAGAATCTGCAAACGCCAACGCAGCCGGGCCAAAAAAAGAACCGAAGGCTTCAAACCCTGAGTTCTAAGCCATGAGGCCAGAAAATTCCAATGTCTTTCAATTAAGGAATATACCTTAAATCCGATTAGGGATCCTACTATTATTTAAAGTATATTCCTCCATTAAGGGATATTGGAGTCTGTGGGAAGCCAGGTCACGATCATAGATGCGCATGCGCCGAGCTTGTTTCTTCACCTTCCTGTCGTCAGGCGTCATGAAACCGACAACTTCGACGCCTGGTGGGGCAGCATAACTTGGGGTGTAGGGTTTAGGGTTTAGGGTTTTAGGGTTTAGGGCTTAGGTTTAAAATGTTGGGTACAAGGAGAGATTTGGAGGATGTGTTCGGGCTCGAAGGCTTTGGCGGCAGGGTTTGGGGTGTTCACAACAGAGGAGGGTACTACAGTGTACTGTATTATAGTATACTATATTATACTATATTATACCATATCATCATATATTATACTATATTGATATACATACCATAGTATCTACAGTCGTCAATCTTCCTCATGTACCAAATCCTGCTGGGTTGAATTATGGGGGTTGGATTCGACAGCAGTTTGCCTCTTCCCGCCAGCATCTCGCGCACTTGGTCCACATACCAACGGTACCTGGGTAGAGGAACAAGGAACCACCCTTTGCGACCCCCTCAATCCCAAGCCCCACAAAGGAGCTCCAATGTCCCTCGCCTCCGAATCCCCTGATGAAGGCTTTCATTTGCAGATGTTGAAGTTTAATCCTTTAACCCCTAAACCTCAACCCGTCCGCGACTATATGAGGAAACGCTGCTAGGATCCCTGGTCGCGGAGGTGAGAATCCATAAATCCATCCTCCGCACGTCAGAAGCCCCGAGTTCCGAAAACCTCCTTGTAACGCGAACACCAAGCCACAAAAACTGTCTGGTGCTTAGTAGGGAATGGGGGAGTGGGTTATATTAACTACTATAAGGGACCTTCGGGGACTATCATAGGGATCCATTCCCTCATTCCCTACAACGCACCAGACAGAAAACTGAACTGCACGCTGATATCAGCCCCGGCACTTCTGACCATCACGGTGGGCTGGCAAGTAGCCACTGCTGCTCCAGTTCATCTCAATGGCCACCACAGGACTGCCCAAACTAAGCACCTTCTCCTGCAGGCGTTTGGGTGTTCTGCGGGGGTTCAGGCTTGTTTGTGGGCTCAAGGTGCGAACCAGGGCCCCTAAACCCTAAACCCTAAACCGTTTTAACCAGGGCTTCTAAATCGAGGGATGTAGCCTCTTGGAGTCTACAGCTGAACGAATCGCGGCCTTCTAGAACTCAGGCCATACCCTACATCCAATCCTAAACCTCAACTCAAAACAGCTGAGGCAGCTCCTTGATAAAGGGAGGCACCAGCTCTTTCGCTGGAGGCACGCGAGGTCCGGGTGCTTCAGCCGAACTGGCGGCACTGCTACTCCTGCTACGCCTGCTGCACGGAGTGCCTTGGCATTTTGTGGCTTGTAGGGTAGTTTGGGCACGGAGTGCCGTGGTTCCTGAAAGCATGCAGTACTCTGCACCACTAGCTTCCCAACACCTGAGACCTTAAGGCCAACGTGAAACCTAGAGAGGTGGGGTTGGAAAGACACAGGCTTCTCAAGCGGTTCAGAGCGATTTCAGCCGTGTCCTGCATTTGAAGCAATATGTCCCTGCATACCCGAGCAGCTTCGTGCAACATCAAGCCAACAGGCGCGTGAATGCCTTGTCATTACTTGCTCGGACGGAGCGGTTGAGAAACAGCGTCTGACTGCGAAAAAAAACTACTCCCCGACGCTAAACCATAAACTGTCACAAGCACCACAACCAGGATGGGCTTAGGATTTCACTGAGTGCTCGGCTGTTCGGCCCAAAACCGTGCTATGCCGATCAGCCGACCCTACGACCTGAACTTCAGGCGAACCCTAAATGGGTAGTTCTCTAAGTTAGGGTCCCGTTTTAGGTCCCAAATAGAGTGCGGCACCCGAATAAAAAGGACCCCCAAAAAGGACCCTAATGTAGAGAACTACCCGAAATCCCAAAACCCTAAGAACCAGGCGAGGCGTTGGGAAGTCGAGTGTTGTTCAACACGGTGGAGACTCAGAGACAGCGGCTTAGGGTTTAGGGTTTAGGGTTTAGGGTTTAGGGTTTAGGGCTTAGGGCTTAGGGTTTAGGGTTTAGGGTTTAGGGTTTCGGGCTTAGGGTTTAGGATTTACGCAATCCAGGTAGCTACCTTCGACCCTGAGATGCTTCGGCCTCTGCTTCTTCTCTTGGAGGCTCATGGGTATTTGTTTAAGTGGAGTTATAAGGCCCCCTAATATAGGTTTTAGGGTTTAGGGTTTAAGGTTTTAGGGTTTAGGGTTTAGGAGTTATAAGCCCCCTAATACAGGTT